CTGGGGAACAGATTCCTCATCTCCTGTCAGGATGAGAAGAACTTTGCTGGGAATGGAAACTTTCTCGTGTAGAGTTTCTTGATGAAGATAACTTATACTGGGGATAATGAGAGATCAAAACAAAACCAATATCAGACCACACTGGGGATTTTACCGCTGGGGGTATAAATCTACACTTGGGGAAGAGGAGAAATCCTTGAACCAGAAACTCGAAGTGCAAAACTCCATTGGGGATAACACAACAATCTTCCGCCACTGGGGATAAAAAAAGTTCTAACCAGCACTCATCTGTATTCACCACACTAGGGAAACATGATTTTGTACGATTTTCATCACGACCAGGCTTTACTGGGGAAAGGAAAACTTGCTCCGCTAAGGGTAAGAGGAAAGTTGATCAAGAAAATCATCAAAATTTGACTCCAACTGGGGAGAATGCCACACCTTCCACTGGGGAAACGAAAAAGCTCTTAATAACAATTTGCTGGCATAAACTACACCAAGGAAGATATCCTTGCAAGATTTATGTCAATATATGACTTTATTGGGAAAAGAAGTTGTCCTGTCGGGAATAACAACCTCCTTCATGAGGATACAAACCAGAATCTCCCACAAATAAACATAATTCTCTTCAAGAAACCTTGACAGTAGCAGGCCGCACTGGGGAGAAAGATGAAAACTTCATGGGGGAAGACGAATTCCAACCTCACCGGGGAAGTATATGTCAACTTCACGGGGATATATCAAAAATCTCTGGTCGGTAAATAAAATGATTCTTCCAAGAAGTCTTGAAAGGAGCAGACTGCGTTGGGGAGAAAGATTACACAACATCCTGCTTCATTGGGGATAAGGAATTGTTCATGCAGAAAGACTCAACCTTTAAGACCCTCATGTTGGTAACGATCCAAACTTACCTTGCTCTCATGCCAAAATTGGACAAAAGTACCTGCAACAATATAAACACAACAATATGTTCCAAGTATGGAATGGAAACCTTAGCCTTCATCCCAGACACCGAAAACTTCAAGCAATGTCAGATATTAATATCATGTCCTGTAAAGCTTTAATGTTTTTAAATTCAAAGTTTATAAAAAATACTAGACTTCTTTTGCAAACAAAACAGTAAAAATAAAAAACCAAGAAGCACAATTTGGATAAAAAGAATTTTATTGATTGATTGTCCTGTAAATAGGCATTTACATCAAGAAGAAATTCCTAAAAAGAGGTAATTGTGTACAAAGCATAAAAAGGAGAATACATAGATGGAAATGTGAAGGCGGATTCATCGGGTTCCGACTCTGGTATGACTCTTATAACCTCGAAGCTCCTTAATATCTTGCTTTCTAAAACAACTGATTGGACTGATTCCTTACCCTTTCAAGCTAACCAACTATAGTATGGAATGATAGCACAAATGCAACATAGACCATAGTCATTCGCTTTAAATCCCTAACTTTTGCCTGGACCTTTCTTTCGAGTTTTCAATCAACCGAGATACCCTTTTTTGCCTAAGCTGCCTTTTTCAAGTTTTCAACTTAGTGGGTGTACACACTTCTTTTTTATTCTTTTAACTTCTTATTTTTTGTCCCTAATTTTCCCCCCAACCTATTTATTCATTTTTATGGTTCTCCAGAACGCCCTTTTTTCCAGAGTCGTCGATTCAGTGGGTCTATTTCATGCGAAGTATTTTTTAACTACGTCTGCATTGACGGGGTGAGGGAAATCTTCTCTATCTATAGTTGTAAGCATCATGGATCCTCCTTAGAAGACTTTTTTTACAACATATGGTCCTTCATAATTAGGAGCCCATTTTCCCCATGCATCTGTATTGTTGGGAGGCAAGATCCTCTTAAGCATGAGGTCACCAGCTTGGAAATTCCGAGGATGCACCTTCTTATCAAAAGCTTTCTTCATCCTTCGCAGGTATAACTGCCCATGATAAATATCTACCAATCTTTTCTCGTTAATGAGATTCAACTGATCAAATATATTATGAACCCACTTGGCTTCATCAAGCTGTACATCTGTCATGATCCTTAAAGAAGGAATTTCCACTTCTACGGGCAAGACGACTTCCATGATGTATACCAAGGAGAATGGGGTTCCCCCAGTCAAAGTACACACTGAAGTGCAATAACCATGCAATGCAAACGACAATATCTCATACCAATCTTTGTAGGTCACAACCATCTTCTTCACAATCTTCTTAATGTTCTTATTTACTGCCTCAACAACACCATTCATCTTTGGACAATATGGAGAAGAATTATGATGCTTTATCTTGAAACTATCACATAGTTCTTTCATCATCTTATCATTGAGATTTGATCCATTATCAATAATGATCTTCTCGAGAATCCCATAACAACAAATGATATTTTGTTTGATGAAACGAGTAACCACTTGCTTGGTAACATTGGCATAGGATGTAACTTCGTCCCATTTGGTGAAGTAGTAAATAGAAACCAGAATAAAGCGATGTTCGTTGGAAGCAGTCGGCTCAATCCGACCAATCATATAGATGCCCCACATTACGAAGGCCCAAGGAGAAGTCAAAATATTCAGCGAATTGAGTGTCACATGCATTTTATCAGCATAAACCTGACACTTGTAATAGATTCTAGAATGATTGTAACAATCGTTTTCCATGGTAGACCAATAATAACCTTCTCTCAAGATTTTATTTGCCATGGTATGCCCACTAGAATGTGTTCAGAAGGAACCTTCATGGATTTCTTCTATGATCTTATTTGCTTCATGTCTGTCCATACATCTGAGCAAAACAGAGTCATAGTTCCTCTTATACAAAACCCCACCATTAAGGAAAAACTTTGTTGAGTACTTCCACAGAGTCTTCTTATCAGTGATAGAAGAATCTTCTGGGTATTCTCACGTTTGAAGATATCTTTTGATATCATAAAACCAAGGTTTCTCATCAGCTTCTTCTTCTATCTCATAACAAAACGCTAGCTCATCTAACCTCAAGATAGTAATAGAGGGGGCCTCATTTTCCCATCTGACTTTAAACATGGATGCCAAAGTAGTCAAAGAGTCTGCCAAGTTATTCTCTTCTTTTGGGATATGATTGAAAGTAATCTCATCAAAATATGGGATCAGCTTCATAACATGCTCTCGATACAAAACCAAATTAGGGTGACGAGTCTCCCAATCTCTGTTGATATGACTAATTACAAGAGCAGAATCCCCATAGACTTCTAAGATCTTGATTTGCAAATCAATAGAAGCTTCCAGCCCGAAAATACAAGCTTCATACTCAACCATGTTATTGGTACAATCAAAGTAGATTCTAGTAGTGAAAGGAGTATGAAAACCTTTAGGAGAAGTAATAACAACACCAATACCGTTACCTAATGCATTGGAGGCACCATGGAACACCATCGTCCATTGCGATCCTGATTTGGGTCCTTCCTCTGCATCAAGGATGTTGCAATCCCGTATGTACATAATGTCCTCATCTAAAAACTCAAACTTCACCGACTGACAGTTGTCTTCCACAGGCTAGTGAGCAAGATAATCTGCCAATACACTACCCTTGATGGCATTATGGGTAGTATACCCATGGGAATGTTGTACAGCATATCCTCATAATCGTTCGGACAAATTTTGGAGTCTTCCATTATTTAATAAACTTCCGATCAGAACGTGCGAGTGTTTACCATGGTTTTTGGTAAACAACCGCTGATCCTCCAAAAAGGAAAGTCCTTCTGGTTACTCGCGGGATCAATCAGATTGATCCTAGAACATATGCTAACTTTATACTGGGTTGATGTAAAATAAGAAAAGAAATCCAGGAAGAACGCACGTTCGACCAAAGACAGGATACTTGTAATTTTGGAAAGTAAGAAAGTTAATAGAAATGTAGAAACGCAGGTAAAGATGCAGGAAAAGTGTTGTACCCCAAAATTTGCCCTCGTATATTTTTCCACAAGAAATCATAGCTGTAGCGATAAAAAATGTAGCGGGGTAAATCGGAGATCGAATTATTGATTAATTCGTCTCACAAAAAGCAAGAGTCGCCACCGCGCTTTATTGTTTCCAAAGGAAAAGGGAAAAGAGCGAAATAAAACCCTAATTATGCAATGTAAATAAAAATACAAATACAAAGCGTTTTTGAAAAGAGATCGAGAGTTCGGGGGTTGGTTATACAATGGGAAGGTATTAGCACCCAATGCATCTATAGTACTCTATAGGAACCTTTTGAAATATCTGTTTCGTTTAAAATTGTTCGCTTGATTGAAAATAAATCGTTTTGGCCGAAAAAGGGATACGGACGGGTTTTTGAAAATACGACGACCTAATGTCGAAGTTTTGGTTTAAAAAGGTATAAGTTTTGAAAAAGGTGAATGTTTAAGGAAAAATTATCCTAAGTTTTAATGAATGAGAGTATTCGCTCGATCATTTTTGAGGACATGAAGTCAACAAAAATTAGACTATTCCCTTTGGATTGGTGCAAACATGATAATCAAGTACGATGAAATAATTGACAGAAAATAATACACAACAATTAAATGTGAACATGCATTTTTATATGATTTTTGTTTAATAGGCGAAAGAAAAAGTTTAATTGGTTTTCACTTTTTTACGCATTTTTAATGATAAAAGGTAACGAGAATTAATAGAAATGTTTTTAATGTTTTTATAGATTTCTATTTTTTATGTCTTTTTGTATATTGGTATTTAATCAAAATGAGGGGGGGTAAATTAAAGAAAATAACATGTCTTTTAGTTTTCATTTTTTACTTTCACATATTTAGAGATATTAAATATTTCAAATTAAATAAAACTTATAAATCAAAAATCTAATTAAAATAAGGAAAACTAAAGTTATTAAATAAACCTAAACTTAGATTAAATGAGATTTAGATAAAATATTAAAATTATCTATTTAAAACCATATATTATTTCTAAGAAACTAATTAATTAAAATTAAAATAGGTTAAGAAAATGAAAAGAATTAATTAAATAGCAAACAAAAGATGGGCTTAAGCTGAAAAGAAAACGGGCTTAGTTGAAGAGAGTGGAGCGGGTGAGGGAAATGGGCCGGGTCGTTGGAAGACCCAGACCCAAAAGGAAGAAACACAAATTGCTGAAGCGAAACAAAACCTAGGAACTAAAGGTGCCGTGGCCGCCGCTGGACCTCCTCTTCTTCCTTCTCGTTCCGATTTCCTTCACGATCCATTTCATCATCAAAGCTTGATCTCCTTCACGGTTCGCTACTCATCTTCGACGCGGCTGTATTATTGTATTGGAATTTGAAATTTGGATAATGATTGTGGAAATTGGGAATGACGGTGTTGGTGCTGAAGAACGAGAACGAGAACGACCGTGGTTTAGTGGATTTCGAAGCGTGATTAGGAGGAATACTTCATGCAAGGCTGCTTCATCCAATTTGGGTTCGGTTTTGTCTGGAACTCCAAGCCGAGATTGCTCATTTGCAAGCAGATGAACTATGTGTTCGCACTGATTAGCTACATTATCTTTCTGAAATCCAAAAGTATACTGCAGAAAATCTAACATGTTGGCATTCCTTGTAGGAGGGATGAAATAGGCCCTGGGCAGTTCAGGCAAGCCATTGAAATACTTCAGAGCCGAAATTGCTGCTTGCACCTCGGGGAAAAAAGCAATAGCATTTGTTGAAGAAGCAGCATCTATAGGGATGATGTTGTAAGCAATCAGATCCTCGGTTGATGCAGAATCTGATTCCATGACCCGCTTAAGCTCATCAGGAATTTCCTCACTCAGCTGCTCAAGTACTGTTCCTAAAACCTTTAAGGTAGCAAAAACCCTTTTCCTCTTCACAGTCTTACGCTCCAACTCGCCAAGATTACGGCTGAAAGCACCAGATTCCCTCAATTGCATTTCCTCCTCAAGTAATTTATCCACATTATTTTTCTTTCTGTAACTCTTGTAGAACTCCTGTAATCGGGCAATGTCCTGACTTCTATCTATGGTTCCAACTTCCCTTTTAGCCAACTTTTGCTTAATGACAGACATCAAACCGGTCTTGAATTGTAAAACACCTCGGCCTTCACTGTTGGGGTCCAAATTTGAGATAATGAATATGCATGCTCACATAATATTCGAGAAACTGTGGGGGCATCATCTTGAATTTCATCTGCAACTCTTAAAATTTCATCAATATCTCTATTTTTAGCAAGTGCAGATGGCACATTCCCAGCAATTCCACCAGCAGGTTGCCCAAATGCATCATCACCAGTTCTTTCCCTTCTTAAAGCAGCACGAACTAACCGCTCCCAGAGTTCTTCAGCTCGAGACATCTGGACTCGGTCATTGGATGTGGCGGTGAGTTGAAGGCAAACGATGGAGAGAGTTTGGAAACAAAGTTTGAGGGTGTTTGTTGTATCAGTTGCGGATCGGGAACGAAATCAAAGGAGATCTCCAGCTGGGTGCGATTTTGGAGTCATTGCGCGTGCCTCAAACATTGGTAATATTCTGCCATTTTTAGAAGTTTCATGCTGCTCAAATCATTATTGTAAGATTATTATTCCTAAGAAAAGTTACTCTGTTGCTATGTTTTGTGTGTGATCGATATAGTGACGAGGAGCTGAGGTAGACGGAAAGCTAATGGCACCGTGGAAGTTGGACATAAACAATGATGATGAATCGTTGATAGTGATGAAGGTTCTGAAGACCGAAGCAAAAACAGAGTGATCTAAAATTTTTATTTACAATTCTTCTGCAGAATGAAGAAAGAATCAATGCAAGGTAATTTTGTTATGGTATTTTGTTAGAGTTTGGAAATAGGGTCGGCTGGAGCTTGTGAAAGTTAGATTACAGTATGTTTATCTGGATTAGGATGGAAATGTTGTTTTTGGTTGAATTTAGAATGGTGATGATAATGGTTTGTGTTAAGAAAGGTTTGTGAATTTGTTTATTATTTCAAATTGGCTTTAAACTAACAGTGCTTATGTGATTGTGTATCGGTCTTGCAACATTTAATAAACTTGAAATTTATCGAACGAATTGTTGCCGGTGTTAAATAGGGATTGATGTATTGATGATTCGCAATGATATTAAATGGCCATTTTTCATGATTTCAGGAAATTAAGAGAGGATTATTAAGTGAGACAAAGGCAACGCAACGGTATAAAGGTTTATGCGGAAAACTGAAAAAAACTCACATGGTCGGAGCTAGTCCGACGGTACGATTCCGACGAAGTCAGGTAAGCTCCGAAGACTCCTCGCTCCTTGCTTTCTGCCACTAATTCCTCTCTTCTTCTCCGTCTAAAAAAAAACTGATTGGAAATATTGAATAAATGTTTTTTTGGTGGTTTTGGATTATACCGTTTTTTATGGTTTTGGTACAGTATGCAGATTGTGTGAAGCAGGTTGTATGAAGCAGGTTTAGCAATATGCCGGTTAGCAATATGCAAGCTTAGCAATATGCTTGTTATGTGGTTTTTGGATGGTTTTATGCTATGTAAAAAGATTTGGCAGTAGGTTATGTTTTGACATCAGTATGCAGGTTTGCAAATGCCTAGAGATGGTTTTGATTGGGAATAATAGCAGTATGCAGGTTTGCAAATGCTTAGAGATGGTTTAGGTTCTGTTTGGGAATGATAGCAATATGCAGGTTTGCAAATGCTTAGAGATGGTTTTGATTGTAGTATGCTGGTTATGATTCTTTTTGGACTATGCAGTGATGTTCTGGTCCCCTTACTATGCAAGCTCACACTTCCTTATGAAGGGATTTTCAAATAGCCGTTGCTTTTTTTTCTCATGGCTCAGGTTTTGAATATTTAATATATTTTTCTGATACTGCATATATGCTGCTGCATATGGTTGACTTTATTCCCAATTCATGCTTAAGCCAAAACCTGCAAAATTGAAACTCTTCTCTCTCTCTCCCAAGTACAGAAATGATATATATAAATGTGATATGTACTTTACTGTATTCTGAAAAAGCAGGCTGGAAGATGATGAAAAAAGGAAAACACTTGCTTGCACACATTGATTTAAGCTGCATATTACTCTTTGTCTTGCATGGGAGCCTAATTTTTTGGACTCTTCTCAAGTTGTTGCATAGGTTCACGTTGCCTTTTGAACAATGCATGTTTATGCATATGCTGTTACTTTGTATGCTGTGTGTTTTTTTTGAAATATGCATTGGATTTTTGGAAAATGCAACTAATTTTAAATATGCAGTTTTGAAAAATAAAAATGAATTTGTGCATGTTTTAAACTGTGCATTCATTTATGAAACAAAAATTCCTCCCTTTTTTGTGAACCGGGAGAAATCCCGTGATTTGCAAAAAAGGGTAAACTGATTCCAGCCGCCTGCTTTTAATGATGAACATTGAATTTATTTTCTGCATTTTAATTATTTATTAAATTCTGACTTTTCTTTTAATCGTTTTTGCAGGTAAAATTAAATGAGCGAACAAGAGCATTGGATTGAAGATTTAGAATTAGAATTTAGAAAAATAGCTTTTTATTTACTTTAAGCATTTATGTAATTGTCTTTATAAATATTTTGTAATAACACAACATTTAAATGACAATTGTAATAAATAGAATAAAGTGAATAAAAATTCTATTATTTCTCAATTAATTCTTTTTCTTTCCAATTATTTATTTATTGTTTATAATTCTTTAAATTATATAATGACTGAAAAATCAAATCCAATCATTTAAATTCAGAATGATAAACAAATAAATAAATATCATTGATCAATTAATAACTTCAATTATTTATTTTATTATTATTTTTAATTCTTCTAAATTATAATAACTTGAAAAAAATAGAATTTCAGCTATTAACTTTAGAACAATAAATAATCAAATAAACATTGCTTGATCAATTAATACTCATTTTCAAATGTTTATTTCGTTATTCATAAACCTTCAAATTATATAATAACGGAAAACAGGTTCCCATTATTTAAATTTAGGATAATGAATAATTAATAAACATTATTTGATCAATTAATAAACCCTTTTCTCAAATAATCTTTTTATTATTTATAAATCTTTAAATTACGTAATAATCGAAAATAAATTCCAATTATTTGAATTTAAGATAATAAATAATTAATGAACATTGTTTAAGTCTTGATTAGTTAATAAATTTAGCGTTCAACAAATAAACAGCTTCCGACTCGAAAAAGTTATGAATTTTTAAACTGCTTTGAAAATTTGATAAAATAGGTCAAAACCTCTGCAATGCGAATGATGCAGATGGAAGACGGTGTCTTAGGTCAAAATTTGGGGTACAACAGCTGCCCCTATTTAAGTTCCTTCTATCCGGAGATATGAAGATTAAAGTCTTCGTCTCGACGAGATTGAAGGTACTTAAATACATAATTACGCAAATTTTGTCCTAAGATGCCGTCATCATGTAGTGTTGAATGTAGTGCATGAATTCACCGAGAAAGATATTGTATGAAACAAGACAAGGTTGGAGGAGTCGAACACCAACAAAACACAGAGACATGAATTATACGCTACTGGGGAAAACGAGCTATCGACTTCAAACGACAGACTCCTGACAGCGAATAAAAACTGAGGGAATACGACCTCTATCCCTAACGAAGAGAGTATCTTGCATAGGCCATAACAGATTTGATCCAAAACAGTGAGTTCGCAACTCAAGGTCGACGGTAGACAGAGAATATCAAATTGCGGATAACTGATTACCGACTTCTGGAGGTACAGATTCGTACCAGACTTCTCTGCGAGGTTTCGGAGGTATACTCATTAATGCTGAGGTAATGAGACGGTAGATACGAAGGTTGTTCAAATAAAGAAAAATGTCAGTTGTTGTCGTCCACAGAAAATACCAATAACATACAAGCTGCTCAAATAAAGAAGCTGCCGCTTGTTGTCGTCCGACGAAAATACCGATAACAAACAAGCTGCTCAAATAAAGAGGCTGCCGCTTGCTGTCGTCCGAAGAAAATACCGATAACAAACAAGCTGCTCAAATAAAGAGGCTGCCACTTGCTGTATTCCAGAAAAGTAATAACGTACTGGTGACTCATGAAGAGTTTGCTGCTTGTTGCTTTCAGAAAAATAAAAACGACGCACTAGTAGCTCATGAAGAACTGCTGCTCGGCGCTTTCGAAAAGAATAAATGACGCACTAGTAGCTCATGAAGAACTGCTGCTCGGCGTTTCCCAAAAAGGATAAAATGACGCACCAGTAGCTCATGAAGAACTGCTGGCGTTTTCACAAAGTCATAACTGACGCACTAGTAGCTCATGAAGAACTGCTGGCGTTTCAGAAAATAAATAACGCACTAGTAGCTCATGAAGAACTGCTGCTCGGCGCTTCAGAAAATAAATAACGCACTAGTAGCTCATGAAGAACTGCTGCTCGGCGCTTCAGAAAATAAATAACGCACTAGTAGCTCATGAAGAACTGCTGCTCGGCGCTTCAGAAAATAAATAACGCACTAGTAGCTCATGAAGAACTGCTGCTCGGCGCTTCAGAAAATAAATAACGCACTAGTAGCTCATGAAGAACTGCTGCTCGGCGCTTTCGAAAAAGTAATGTACAAGTTGCTCGTGAAGAGCTAACGCTTGTCGTTTTCCAACAAAATTCAGAAGGAAACTGCGATGATATTGGCAGAGAATAAAATCTTCATCAAAGAGAACCCTGAATCAATCCTTCCCGAGGAAATCATATACTTAAATGTGCAAAATAAATGCACCAACCGTCTAGGCCGCAAATTCACTGGGGAAAATCAATGAGATAGCCTATGCAAGAGGCAACAACTTCATCCAGGAATAACCAGAGGAAACGGTCGAACAAGACTCCTCCCAATGAGAAAGTAACTCGATTGGGGAAATTATCCTATCCAAAAATGGACAAGGTAAGCTAAATCAAAAATCATCCACGAGGATTAGCTCAGTTGGGGAATTAGAAAGGAGGCACATTTTATGCTTAAGTTAACACTCTATTTGGAAAGATCAAATGTGCTATTTGAAAAGGCACAGCCAAGGTGTACGAATTCAAAGACATCAACAGATACAACTGTGCGTGCATGATGCAAGTGCGAATGAATGTCATGAATGTCATGTATATGCTGACAAAACAGACAGGGGAGACGGACAGAAGATGACGAAACATCACAGCACAACCCGACGCTCGGCTAAACTCAACAGGAGGGGAACATCACTGGAGATAGAAGACAAAAGCCAACAACGCTGAAAAATCCTTCTACAAGGCTTAAAACTCTTTGGAGAGGAAAATATTCAACCCAAAGTCCCATCTTCTATCGTCGACAACACGAACAAATCTTCTGCTGGAAGGAGTC